ATAACTATTAGGAAAAAAGATCCATTAAATATCTTCCAGTAATGTCACCTCTGATGACAGGTCATAAAGGGTCATAAACCTCTACGGCGGCCCAAGTTAAAGACCATCAATAATTTACTTCCGTCTCTTCACTTCCTGCACTCTCTCCCTACCCCTGACTGAAACTGGGCATTCAGTTAAAGGACTGAGACACTCATGACTACAAAGGAAAGACAAACACAATGGAAAATTCCTTCCAAGTAGCTCAAACACTGGTAATGTTGTGGTCATGTTTAAGGATTATTTAATGTGGAAGATGACGCACTAACACAAAACACTGGTTAATAAGAATTTCTCATTTCAAACTTCAATATAGCAACAGATCAGCTAGATGGAGGGGTGTGTGGTAGAACCTTAACTATGCAGTGTTTCTACATCAATAAACCCATCAAAGGCAATCAAAGTCTCAAACCACTTGCTACTGTCTTGCATGCATAGTCTATCTTGAAGTCTTAAGGTCTTATTTGGTATTAAACAATTTGCGCAGGCCTTTGACATATCCTCCCTGTTGTGAATAAAACATTGAGAAGGGTATTACTGTCCACCTATGATGCCCTGTCCACTGACGGAACAGTTTTCCTGCAAAAAAGGTATGAAATAGGTTTGGCCTTCAGCTGCCCTGAGAAATACTAGAGTCAGCAATACAACGGTATGGCAGGGTGATACAAATACTAAGTGCTCCTCACTTTTGTTGATCTGATGTACGCCTAGTACAGATATATGGAACTGAAACCAGAAGGAAGAAATACAGCACAACACCGCAAAGAGCTTAAATTTAAAAGTCACTTTGCTAAACACTGTATGCCTTTGTGTTCATTTATCAATATAAATTTCCATTATACTCATTCTGCCAGACTAGATACTGAAAAAACAAAGATGTGGTTATTATAAGCATCAGTGTCCTGTTTTTCAAATTGGCTGATTAGTCCAGAAGAGTTAATTAAGTCAAGACGTGTCATTTGTGAGATCAAGTTAATTTGTTTTGGACTATTATAATTTAGGCCATGACTGTGCTTTATTAAAATTCAGTTCAGTGCTCAATACACAGCAGACACAAGCCTAGTTTTACTTACTATCCCATGGTATGGTATATTAACAGTCAATGGCTGTGAGCACAGGAGCACCGCTCACTTGCCATTGAAACCTTTGGTTTGTCAGGGCCACCCAGTCAGAAGAAAGTTTGCTAAAAGGAAGGGTGAAAATCTTGTCTCAAAAAAAACCCCCTATGAATTTGGGGTCTGCACCAAGTAGTACAAGATAACTCTGAACTGTGAATCACAGAAGAAATACACAAAAAATTGTTAAATTGCATAATAGATCCGCTTAAATGTGTAAATTGTTGGATAGTGCAACCTTACTCCCTGCTTAAGGTGCAATTTCAGCTTCGCTGCCTCAAGCACAAGAGCAGCAAAAAGCAAAACATATAGGAATGGTGATTAAAAAGGTAAGAGCGTGACAAGAATGATGCCGTCTCACAGCAAAGTCTGACAGACCCATGTTGAGTTTAACTGTGGAAAAAAAAAAATACAGTGGTGAGTGATGGGTTAGTGTGCACACTGTGGCACAATGCTGTGCCCTTCCCATTCTATTTCAACCCAGCTGTTTTCCATTTTTATTAGACCTATATTTCTAATCTTTCTCCATTTCACAGACACACTTCTGACGTTAACAGACCAAACTCCTTCCCCACAGGGAAAGAGCAGGAAGTCGACTTTAATCAGCACGGTGGAATCTGAGACCTAACTTGGAATTTGAGAGGACAATGACCTCTCAAATTGAATGCTGGCATCCTCACTGACATCCTCATGCAGACATTAAAGCCCACAATATGTATTTTCCTTACTTCTGAGCGGTGACTCTTCAGAGAAAAAAACGTTTTCTATCAATGAATTAACCCCCAGTATCGTTATCCATATGTCAGAAAGTGGCTTTATGATTGAATATTAAAGCAGAGGAAACCCACTTATATGACACTAACAGTTCTGACACTGGGATTTGTTAGACAAGCCTCTGCATGCATGCATTGAAGCCAGGGAAGCAGACACAAAGCAAACAAATCCCTTGCATTGCAACAACCTTAATAATGAATTATGTGGCTTTTGTATAGATTTAAGCTTTTCCCTAGTAATATAAATGTTTCCCAGTAGGACAACAATTATTCAGCTCCCGGTGGCTTCAGTTCAAAGAGAGACGGGATCATTCAAACACTAGCACAAAAGTCTTGAAAGAAATATAATGAATGTGTCTGCTAATTGAAAGTCGCCTCTAGGTTTTTAGGTAGTTTTATTTGTGGACTGAAAGAATTTAAAAAAAAAAAAAAGCCATGCTGGGCTACTTACTCTTGAGCGCAGTGATTAGCATATTCCCATCCTTAATGAGGTCTTTGATGAATTTATTTGTCCGCTCCAGTTCTATTTCATGGCATTTCAGACGCTCTCTGAAGTCCGGACTGTCCAGGAAAGAGTCACTAAACTCCAAAGTGGGGAGTCCCATTGTCCCTCAACGACAACGCTGGCTTTTAAACTCTGTAACTAGGCATACAAAGGTTTTTGCTTTTCATCACGTAGTTCCGATGTAATAGCCACTTCTAAGTTCCCCCTAAAAACTTTTCCTGCTCCGCTTAGTTCCTCACTTCCGCTTTGATTTTCTTCGCTTTTTTTTTGTCGGCTACCTTAAAAAACAGTGGTCGTATGACTCCTGCTGGTTAGTTTTGGACAGATTACAACAAACGTGGTAGGTCCATCATTAACTTATGCAACGAAAAAAGTTATTTTGAAAAATTAAGCTGATTTCTGCGTTTCACACTAAACCTCCTAATTACGTTAATAATAATAATGATAATAATAATAATAATAATGAAGAAGAAGAAGCGAAAAAGAAAAAAAAAATCAACCTACTTATCTCTATATCAACTACAAATGACTGAAAAGAGAAAATATATATAGAGATTAAAATTTGAATTCAGTTTCTGTGGAAATACAAACAAGAATTGCCAATTGCGAGAATTTTGGAACTAATTTTTGTTTTGCCTCAGATACAACCACAGTATGCAATGCTATAGAAATCTTTTGCATTAAAAAAAATCCATTTATTTCTTAAATGACCTCTGTCACTTTTGTTATTTTACGATATCTTAGCACACACTTAAAGCGTCTACTGCACCAAATATACTGTTTTTGGTCAAATTATGCCAGTGGTGCTGCTTTCTAATATTGTAAACTATAAACTCTGCAGATGTCCATGGCATCTCACTGGCATCATCGAGAGCTTAAGAAGAGGGATCTAAACTAATACCTTGGTAAATGGAAGTAATTAAGCTAGAGCCTAGTTGGAGTCAGGGATTTGTCACATTCTCTTCATGCTAAAGGTTAGCAATAATGATTTTACACTCCAGGTAAATATCTTGGTAGGTGTGAAGCACAGGCTTTGTCACCAGTCACATTAAACCCTTTGGATGACTGTTTTTACCTTTGGTGCTTTACACTGCCAGAGGGAGAGAAAGAGGCTTTATCTCTGAGCAAAGATTAAAGTAATAACTACACGAAGATGCAGATACTGCAGCAATGGCTATAATCAAAACCCACAAATGAAAAAGCAATAACAACATAATGCTTCAAAATTAAGAGCAAACTGGAGCTCTGTAAATAGAGACAAGCTTTTTCTAAGTTTCACCCTGTGGCCCTGTACATTTCTGCCTTGGTAACTAACTAGCAACCGTTCCTAACAACACACCTGATCTTACTCTAGGTACCAGTGAGGTAAATCAGCAGAGACAGATAACCTTTACAGGCAAAGTCATGTGACTGCAGCTGAATTGTTACTGTGTGTTACCATCAGATTCCAGCAATGGCCAGTAGGTCTGTAGTCAAACTATATTTTCAAATACAGTAAGATAAAAAAAAATTAATCTCAATTTCAAAATGATACATATGAGTGTTTCTGAGATGTGAGCAAGCTGCAGTGTTTTAATATAAAAAATTTTCACTGAGAACCATAAAACTAAAGTGCACAATGCACTGCAATCCATAGGTGAGCGCTATAAGTTCAAGCTTTTACCACCTGAAAAAGCTCCATCCCTATTACCCTCGGTGGGTTACTCTTTCAGCTGTGATTATCTGTAGGGTTGACAGTTAACTTTCCTCTGACTGCAACTCACAGATGAAAATGCCTCACTTATAGCAGAAGTGAGTTACACTCAAACAGCTGCAAGCATGTGGAACTGGAACAAGGACAGGCCTCTGGCTGCACCTGAGGAATCAAAAACAGTGGGAGCATGTGTGTCCTTACACGTGTGCATTTACGGTGATGAAATCTCAAGTCTGGGAATGAAACAACAGGATCCTGGAGGGATTCATTTAGAGGTGTAACACTCATTGTGGCCAGCATTAAAGTATTTCATTTGCATGTGATACAAAAGTCCAGGGAGCCCAGTTTCCCTGGGGATATGTGATTAGCTATAATAATGTTTTCTGGTATATTGTTGTAGGAAAGCAAGTGGTTCAATGAACAAGTAATTCCACAAAAATAAAGATAAATATGTGCTGGTTTCCAGCCATATGCTGCATTTGTAGAAATCTTGCAAAAAAAAAAAGTGGTCAAAAATACCGCCTTAACAACACACGAGTGGAGACTTGAGGACGAGTGGTTAGCTGTATGAAGCATGGCTAATTGCAATCTAAAATAGCCGCCTGTAGAGTCTTTGAGGTAAATTTGGTTTAATTAAGATGAGACTTAATAGAGAACTGTGCCCCTGTACTCCTCACTCATGAAGGCATTCGCACATTCATATTAGTCATGCCAACATGAGTCTATCGAGAGGCGGTGCACATATCGTTTTCCGTGAATTCACCTAAGGAGACCAACTATGACCCATTAAAGGACAGTCTTTGAGCATTTGCACACGCATATACAAGCCACTCATGCTTGAGCAATACAAGCTTGTTGCACACACTAGTGAGTGAGACATCTTTCGCATTATCATACAAGTGGGGAAATAATTTATATGTGAGACGCTCTTTTCCCACATCCTCATCCTTTTTCTCACTGCATTAAACAAGGCTACAATGATGTCGCCTGATTGAGAATGGGCAGCTCAAATGGGGAAAAAAAGACTTGGATTTCACAACAAATATCATTAATCCATGCAGAATAAGCGTGAATTATCTCTGCAATAAATTATGCACAAGTCGGGGGTCTTCTGATTAGATTTCTTCTAATATTTCTGCATCGCACAGCAGGATAGTCAGTTGCTGTGAGAAGTTGTCTGGTCTCATTGTGGTGGGAGAGGTGGGGGGGTGTTTTTGGGTCCTAACATGCTCCCGTCAATTCCAGCTCTTGTGCCATCATTCTGCAGCAGCAGCCCTCGGGGGTGCAGTTTGTTACATTGACACAGTGAGCAGAGAGATGTGATACATTAGTGGAAACCCTGTTGCTTCAAGTTAATTGCTGTGTGCACTCTGCAGTACTGAACTGGGTTATTGGGTGAAATATGATAACTGAGAAGGACTATGGAAAAAAAAAATCTGCTCAATACACAGCTCTCAATTTTCCGTCTGAAAGTGCAGAGATGATAGAGTTTAAGATGTCACACTTGACGTGTATTACTGGTCGGGATGCAGCTT